AGCCCAGATCTCATGAAGGAAGGTGCTGGGGGCACTTACGGGGTGCTGATGGGGGAAGGCGCCGGCTGGGGGGGCTCCATAGAGACCCGAGAGGTACGCCGAGGAGCTCTGTGGCAGGAGAGAAAATGAGGGTCAGTGATGTCCCCAACGTGCCAGCCCCTTCCCGGTCACCCCCAGCCCAATGCGGAGCAGCGTGGCACCACTGTGAGCCCAGCAGGGAGACGGGGACAACTCTTCAGCCCCTGAAACCCCTCCTGGAGAGCACGGGTGCACCCTTGGGTGCATCAGGGTGAGCAGCAGTGGGGCTAGGGGGTGGATGGGAGCTCCCAGTTACCCCCAGTCCCTCCCTGCTGCTGGTTTTTCGGCTGTATCCTGCTAGTGTTTATAGCACAAAGCTGGCCCCTACGGCCTTTCGGAGCAGCCGCAACCCTGGAAAGCCAAAGCTGTGCTGCAACCACCATCAGTTCCCTGCGGAGAAGGTGGGAGTTTGGTGAGAACTGAGCAAAACGTCTGGTTTGGCTCTGATTTCCATCACCATTTCCCTTCTCCAGTTCCAAGAGAAGAAAAAGCAGAGGCTGAAGAAGATGTTCTCCCAAGATCTGGGCTGGGGATGGGGAGAAAGCAGTGGGTCTCTCCATGGTCAAGAGCAAGGGGTACATGCCAGCACCCTACCCCAACCCAACTCCTCTCCAACTCTTCTGTGTTTCAGACATCAGACATTTCTCCTGGCAGCAGACACAACTCTCCAGCTCTGGATCTGGGCAAAAGCAACCAGAAGCTACCTGCGAACCACGGTTACTCGGGCAGAGAAGACCCAGCGCCCCTGCCCACAGCAGACACCGCTCTCGCTCCCAGCCCTCGACCTAAACCTGCAGCGCTGATGTTTCGGGCTCCTCCTCGCACCAAGCTCATGCTCCCCGTGTCCACCCTCTGCTTCTGGGCATGGGTTGCTCCGTGGCTCCTCCACCACCGTGTCCTCTCCTGCCCAGCTGGTCCTCACGGCCGGGGCGGGCACCGCACCACCTCAGCTTCCTCTGTTCACCGTGAGGCTCCTTCCTCATCCTCCATCCTTGTCAGGTCTCTAGAGCTCCAGAGTTGAAGCTCCAGGCACCAGCCCCGGGTCTTGCTGCAGACATGGTCAGAAATGACCACTCTGAGGTGTGAAATACAAAGTGCTTGAGGGGAAGGGGCTGCCACAGAACCAAGCTGGTTTCCTATTAGTTGGGTTTTTGCCAGTTCCTTGTTTTAACTATAAAAAATGATGGCAGAGGCAATTTTTCCTCTTGGCTTCGCCAGGGTGGCTTGAAAAAGGCCACACAAAGCTTTGGGGTGAAGGAGCCCACACCGACCGCTGCCCGTCAGGAGAACCTGCCCAGCTCCTCTCCATCACACCGACAAACGCTCAAGCAGATGTTTCCCCGAAGGCTGCGCTCGCTCGGGCGGCCAACGCAGGCAGAGCATCCTCCCCTCCGCGGGCTGGCAGTGCTCAGACAGACAAGACGGACGGACCGACCCTCTCGGTGCCCTCCAGGGCCATCACACCCATCGCATCACACTCATCCACACCGCCAGCCTGGCACTCACCGTTCTCCTCCGACCGCTCTGCTGCTGGCGTCGCCAGGAAAAGAAAACAGCACAAGTAAATGAACCCGCGTGCCGGTCGCCGTGTAGGCAAAGCATCTCAGCAGAAGTATTTAGAGACAGACCACAGAGCCTGGTCATCCTAAGGGTGCTCTGCAGGTGCTAGTGGGCTGGGGATGGACCTTCTCCGTCAGCACTTTGGCCGGCGTGTTTTGCCGACACCGGACCGTCCCTGCCTGCAACCTCAGAGGTTTTGAAACTGCTTCCCAGGCTGGCTTTGCCCCAGGTCTCAGCAGCTACAACACTCCAAGAAAGAGGAAAACCCCTGCCTACGAAGTCAGGTGAAGATCGGCTCCCAGCAAATACAACCCTTTGAGTGCCAGGGTAGGGAGCAAAGCCGATGGCGGAGGTTGCACAGAGGGTGCTGCTCGTCCCCTTTCACACCACGCTCCGCATGCCCTGTGGCGATGCCGGCAGGTTCAGATGGCCAACGAGGCCAGACCCGCCAGGGCACAATCGAGTCCACACCATCACAACCCAGCGGTGGGTTTGGGCTCAGGCCTGAAGACCACCTACATGGTTTTCCCATGCCGGCATCGGCACAGATTGCCCCCAGCCACCTTCAGAGAGCAGCACCCCTGGGACATGGCCAGTCCTTCACCACAGGTGAAACTGAGCTCAGCACCACGTGGGGATGCAGCTGATCTCCCCGGGGAGCTAAACCCAAGGAGGCACAAGCCACGTTCATTCACCGTCTTCTCCACTTTGCTGCTGTGATGAGCGTCTTCCCCAAATGGCTGAGTCAGAGCTCTTGTTCAAAGCTCCCCATGAGATGGCTCCTATAGCTACGGTGTCCACCCAAACCCAAGAGCTACAGCAGGAGAGTCCAGAGACCACTCTGCCCCCAAGAACGCGTCCCCACACCCCAAAACCTCTTGCACTTACTGCAAATGGGTGGTACGGGGTGGCTGCTGCAGCCCCTCGGGCCCCCGGGGTGGATGGGAGCATGGACAGCCCCGTCGAGAAGATGCCCAAAGCACTGAGGTTCAGTCCTGGGATCAAGTTGGCTTGTTGCTGGGAAAGCAGAGACACGGAAAAACGTGTAAAAGGCAGAGTGGAGTTTTGGAGGTTCTCACCACATAGTGTGGACATGATGGGTGAGGGCCAACCCTTGCCGTAACGGATCGCCTATGCCCCAGTTTTCTTCTGGCCACCTCAGCAGTGGCTCTGAAGCAGGGGCATCCCATGAGGGATGGGCTGGGAGCTTACATTGACGGCCACCACGTCGTTCTCATAGGCCTCTCGTAACTTCTTCATGATCTCCACTTCGGCATTGGAGCACGCCTCCGTGCTGCCCTTCACCGTGATGGTCCGCTCGGGATTATAAATGGTTAAATCCTGCAAACTACCCCACAGATAAATCCGGAGACGTGGTTACATTTTTTTTCCCAGTAAAAAAACAAAAACAAAAACCAAAAGGAAAACACAAATCAAAGATGACGGTTCCCCCCTGAGACAGCGTGAGACCACATGCCCTTTCCCTGCCCAACACCAGCATCCACCTGGGATGAGGAACGCCCACCCGGGATGGGGAACGTGCATGAGAGGACACAGCTGCTCTGTTTTCTGGCTCTAGCGCTGCCCGTACCGAGCTGGATGGAGGGGGATGGCTTGGTGTTCACCAGGACTTACGGGGAGATGGTGATCTTCGTGCCTGTGTCCTGCTCGATCTTCTTGAGGTTGCGGCCCTCCTTGCCAATCAACCTCCCCACCAGACTGTTGTGGGCTAGGATTTTCAAGGGAATCTCTTCTGCTCTAAAATGGATTAAAAAAAATAAAATCTAAAGGTCCATCTGGCCAGGAAACCAATTTCCAGCAACGGGCACTAACAACGTGCTGGAAGGAGCAGAAGAACCACCACCACCATCTCCCACCACCATATCTCCTCAGCTCTGGGGAACGGGAACTCAAGGACTTCCCAAGCCCAATGGCACATCTATGTTTCATGGGGTTTTGTTCTCCAAGTTTGCCTACACGCTCTGAGCTTCTCGTCTCCACAGCACTGTCAACCACGCCATGGAGAAGTTATTAAGTTGTAAGTTATTAACTGACCCATGACCCTATCCTGGATGTCCGACTGCCAGCAGCTCCCTCAGGGGGTTGGGGGGTGACAGAAGATGGCTGCTTCTCCATCAATGCCTGAATTTACCTCCCTTCCACCAAACCTGCCCCTTTTGCTGAGCCAGGCACACTTACGATTTAGTTTCATCAGCCTCCTTCTGCATGATATCAAGGATCATGCGACATGCTTCGGAGCAACCCTCTGGCGTGGCGTGGATGGTGATGGGCTTTTCGGCAGCGCCAGCGTTCTCCTTCCGATGGATGTCAACCCTACGGCGAAACAACCAGCAGAGAGGAGCCCCCTGAGATGCGTCTGGTGTCACCCAAAGGTTTTTGAGAGCTCAGGAGCTGAGCTTGCTATTCGCAGAAAAGCTCATTTCAACACTTGCTCAAGCTTTGGAGTGAACCTGGGTCTCGCTGACGTACATCTACCATCACCTGGTCTCATGCAAGCCCAGGCAGCGTTTCGCTTCCGTTGGTTTAGATCAGATTTGAGCTACGTTCGCCTTTATGACCTGAGGTCTGCCTGGGAGCTGAGGGATGTCAATCAACGTCAAACAATGCATCAAGAAGGGGGCAGAACAAATCCTCAACTAGACAAAGCCCTGAGCAACCTGGTCTATCATCTTGGACGCCAGTCCCACTTGGAGCAGGAGACCAGATTAGAGGTCTCCAGAGGTCCCTTCCAACCTCAGCCTCTCTCTGCACAACACCCAAGGCTGTCCAACGACCGGCGGACCGTTGCGTGCCGTTCGGGACAGAGAGGACAACTTACCCGTAGGCAGCGTTTGTGACGACACGGAGGCACACGTCAACAACAGCGCTTGTACTCACGCCCTTCCACGGGAGACCAGAAAGCTCTCCCTTGCGCACCGGCAGGGACCGTGCTCTAGCTCCTCTGGTCCTCCCCTCAGCTCATGGCGGGGAGGAGGCACGTGCCTCCAGCTCGCTCCTCACCGCTCAACCGTACCTGGCAAAGGCCCTGAGAGAGAGGGAGAGAGGAAAGCAGGGTAGGAGACTCCGGCACGTCAACCACGTGTCTTGAAGAACAGGGGTAAGCAACTTTTGCATCTTCTCTGCGTGAGTCCGCGCGCTCTTCCCACCGGTGGATGATGCCGTGCGGCCATCCCGCCATCGGCCACCACCTCAGCGTCCC